TGGCTACAGACTACGTGCTTCTAAAGGCGTGTGAAATAGCGAAGAAAAGTTGGGTTTCGAGGAATCTCTTGTTTCGTAATTGTTGAGCTTGCTTCCATTTCGAGTGAAAGTGTTTGGTGAAGAGCTTCTAAGCTCTTCACCAAACACTTTCACTCGAAATGGAAGTAAACACAACAAGTGCCTGGAGTAAAACGTTTACTTGGTCTGGAACCGGGTGAAATCGGTCAACCCAAAATATACGAAACGGATCCACGGAAATCCGGATATGGAGGCCAATTCGGATCAGCCATTCGAGAGGTAGACAGCTGCTATGATGACGCCACACCAAGCTCATTAAGCAAGGCCCACATTTTGAGAGAATGGACTATAAACAGGTTAGAATGTGTGATAAGGCGGGAGTGCGATTAAAGGATCGGGAGTAGATAGTTGGTGCTTTACTTGTCTCGTTGACAATTTGTAGAATGTTGCTGAAAGTGGCGTGGTGCACTGACGAGGCTGTCGAAGCGTCAGTGAATCTACCAAGTCGACAGTCCGACGCTGAACTTGTGCTACCCACTCGAGCAGACGACTTCGGGCCAAGTTGTGAAAATGAGTTTGCGTCACTTTAAGCCCTCCGAGGTGACCTATCGCGAGTTATCTCGAAATCAGTTTTGCTCGTTGCATCACGGCGAAGATGTAGGCCTAGAAGCACCAGCCACGCAGACTGACAGCCGCCTCAAGTCGACCTGAGGTCCACTTTGTGGTTCGCCAGCAAGTGGCTTTGGCTCAACGGAGAAATCGTCTTCCAACGAAGCCCCCGGTTACGTGCACTTGAGCGATGCCGATTAGCGGACAGCTTGTGGCCGACACTGGCGAACAATACTTGTTAGTTAAGTGAGGATAGCGCGCCGGAAGACTCAACTTCTGTCCGGTCTTGTAACCACGGCGTGTGTACCAAAGCCCTCTCCCTCGTCCACCTCCGTCGCATGCCTCCCAGCCATTTGCTGTCCATCCTACGACTGTTCGTTGTCTGTCCGGCACTGTTTGCTCTTTCGCGAATGCAAGCCTACCTTATCACCTTCTTGCCGACTTCACTACAGTCTCGGTCGCGCAGTCTATCCTCTCCGGTATCACCGCTTCCCTCTGTCCAACTGGCTCCACAGTCGAATCACTACCCTCCTGCTCACTTTCTTCCCGCCCGTCCATCACGTCTTGCCGCGTCCAGCACTCTCACCATGGCCACCAGCCGCGTTGGCAACACACCCGATGCCAGTTGTGGTGGTGATGTTGCTTTTTCCCTCTCGGAGCGCC